GTGTTATCCAGAGAAAAGGGCAGGAAGTTATTCAATGTATTGTTCTAGATATTATTATACATATTACCATAGTTAGTCCTCACTATAGTTATTGAGGCAGCTATGATTAATCTTGCTTTACAGATGAGGAAGCTGAGACTTAAAAATAAGCCTGGCTCTAATGTTCGTGAAGCGTGGAACAAAAATATTAATGAAAGTCCATAGTCCTGTCACTAAACATCTAAACATTTTCACTCAAGTGTTTAAAGTGCCAAGTAAAGTGTGTTCCATCTTAAACATCCATAGCTATTCCTCCATAGTGACCTGGAGCACTACGTTCCTCTCCCATGCTTCAGAGTCTCACACCGAAATGAGGAGGCGTAGGGTGAGCTGGTGGCCAGCCCACCCACCTTCTTTTCATGTATACATGTAAACACCCTCGTGTAAAAGTACAAGCTCTAATTGGACGCTGAAATGGGACACCTGCAGGCCTAGGTGGGGCACAGACCGTCCTCAGGAAGACCTGGAGAAGAGGTCTGTGCATGCTGTGCAAGCAATCTTGGGACAGTTCTTGTATTTGGTCCACAAGGCAGGGTTCAGGCCCCAGAAGAGCGTCCTTAACTCCATGAATTCCTCATACTGTAGGAATGACCCCAGCTGGAGGAGGACCAGAGTGAGGTCTTCCAGTATGGGATCTTGGGCAATGACCACTCTTACTCAAATCTAAGATGGATATTAGAATAGCCAAGTAATGCACCTAATATCACACTGCTATTAGGTACCAGAACTCAGAAGCAAGCACAGATCTTCTGAAATTATTGTTATGTCAGTAGCTATCAATTATTGGGTGCTTACTATTTGCTAGTTCTTGTGAGCTTTCTTGTGCTCTGTTCCTACTGAACCTAACTGGGGACGAATGGAGATGCAGAAAGGACAAAGAATAGAAGACAGTCATGCAGAAAGTTGGGATCAAGTTTGCTTAGCACTCTGATGGAGACACACAACAGCCTCATTGCTTTTTTACTTCTCTTACTTTGCTTCTTTATCCTTTGAAACCTTACTTCTTTTCTATTCTTTAAAGTCTCTTTACTTAGACTAGCATTGTCCCATGTTTTCCTTAATCTCTCTTAAAGTGTTGGCCCTCATTGCACCGTCCCATGTTCTTTCTCAAAGTCTTAGTCCTCACACTCACAGACACACAAACAAGCCAGCGGCAACTTCACAAGCAGCCCACAGCCAGCCAATCAACCCATTTACCTCCTCAACCAAACCCCTGTCCTCCTTCAGCAAGTCTTTTATATACAATGGTAAACAAGGAGCTGGAGCACAGTTCTTAGGGAAGGGCATGACATTGTAACAAGAGAAACCTGCTCTTTCTCTGAATGTAAACACTTTAGGAAAAGCAGCTGTGTTGCATTTTGCCTTCCCCTCCTTCTGCAGTTAGGGTCATGCCAGACTCAGCCTGCTGATTATTTGACACAGCTGTGCTTCTGTCTAGTCATAGGCTTCTCATAGTCTGCTCCTCACAGCTACTTACTGTCCTAATTTTTCTACATCCATTAACTCATTTAACTCACATAACTACCATTTAGTGATAAGAAAACCAGCATAAAGACCTTAAGTAGGTCCAGGTGTGGTGGTCCATGACCATAATCCCAGCTCCAGTGGAGGCAGAGATGGCAGAATCTGGTTCAAAAAATAAGCTGGGCATGGTGGTATGTATCTCTAACCCCAGCTTCACAAGAGGTGGAGGTACGAGAATCAAAGTCAGAGGCTGACCCTGGACAAAAGGCATGAGACCCTACCTGAAAAATAAACTAAAGCAAAAGGGACTGGGAGTGTGGCTCAAGTGGTAGCATCTTGTATAGCAACATACAAGGTCTGGTGTTCAAACCCCAGTACCATGAAAAAGAAAAAAAAGAGAGCTTAAGTAACTTAAGTCACCCGGTAGAGTAAAGCCACAGTGTTCCTCAATTTGTTCTTTTTTTTTAATTTTTATTTTATTCATATGTGCATACAATGTTTGGGTCACTTCTCCCCCCTTCCCCCACCCCCTCCCTCCCCCCCACCCCTTCCCTCTCCCCCCCACCCCCTTGATACCCAGAAGAAACTATTTTGCCCTTACCTCTAATTTTGTTGAAGAGAGAGTATAAGCAGTAATAGGAAGGAACAAGGGTTTTTGCTAGTTGAGATAAGGATAGCTATATAGGGAGTTGACTTGCATTGCTTTCCTGTGCATGTGTGTTACCTTCTAAGTTAATTCTTCTTGAGCTAATCTTTTCTCTAGTTCCTGGTCCCCTTCTCCTATTGGCCTCAGTTGCTTTTAAGGTATCTGCTTTAGTTTCTCCGTATTGGGGGCAACAAATGCTATCTAGTTTTTTAGGTGTCTTACCTATCCTCATACCTCCCTTATGTGCTCTCGCTTTTAAAAGGATGAGGAGGACACTTGAAGTCACAGACTCATTAAGAATTAGAACTAGAAGGAAGGATATTCCTCTTTCTATTACAGTACAAGATGCTTCTAAGTGTTTTGGCATGTAAATCTCAGGAGAATATACAATCTGCTGAAGGTGAAAATCACAATATCTATACAAGTGGGCTCTGGAATGTATTGCACAGTGTAGGAACAAGCAGTGGTTTCTAATCTCTGGACCTTAACTATTCTCAGGAGAAGGAATCTTTTTAAAAAAACATAGAGCATTCATTTATTATTGCTATAAGCAAGGCAAAAACCTCGTAAAACAATTAGCCTTAATAAGTGAAGTATGGTCAGATTCATGAATTTATAGTTTGCTCTTCTCTGCTGTTGAGTTGTCACTTTTCCCATACATCATGTAACATAAGACCTTTATTATGCAAGAATAAGAAGTCTCCTGGAAGTCACAAAGCATGGCTTGATCATGTGCCTAGTTCCTGTATTTTTCTCAATTATGAACTTGTAAAATATAACTACTACCTTGCAATTTTCTGTCTTTAATGTGTACTGCTCGTAGCAGAAAAGTTTGGAAACCAATGCTGTATATGTATGCTTTCTAAGGAGATACTGATTTTTCTAGAATGGTCACATAATGTTCCAAAAGCAAATAGCACAGATGTGTAAGTCATATATAATACCAAACATGCATTCTGCCCATCTACTCTAAATCCACATGCAACCAATCACACAGTCAAATATGAGCCTACTAGACAGGCATTTTCAAAGGCTTCCCAGCACATCTATATAGGGTTGGCCAGTCTGCATCAGGTCTCTATTAAAATGTTACTAATGAAACTAAACTCAGACTATGTTGCTTTAACAAGTCAGAATTAATTCAAATCCACAATTTTAGGAACATTTTTGATCTGCAGCTTTTCTCATTCCCAGACTTCTCTATCTGTCTTTCTAAATTTATAGACATTTTGATGGTATCCTTGAGTTGATCCTGTATTAACAATAAAGGAGATAAGTTCATGCAGAGGAAAAATAACAAAGGAGGGACTTTCCTCAAAGATCTTTGAAAAAGGAGCATTTGCATAAGCCATATTTAACCAGATTCTTTGTTTTATGTTTTTCCTTTCTGAATTCTTTGGTACTCTTCCCTGTTATCCCACCCCGCCGGACCCCAACTAGTGAGAGAGCAAAGGCTTCATGATATTCCACAGTGGAACATTCCTGACCCACCCTCACCATCATGCCTGAATAATTACATTTACTGATTAGTGTCTTCTGCTTCTCTCTACTTTGAAACCCTCAGGTATGTTACTCTTCCAGAATATGGTTGTGATTCTTTCCCTCACTTGTTCAAGTTTTCCCAGAAACTACAGTATAAACTTCTCAAACTTTAGTCTAGAGTTTATTCTATGTCATTTTCTTTCCTGCTTCTCTGTTAACCCATTATGATCTGTCTAGTATCTCTGCCTTCAAAATCTTTTCTCAGATATTTGACTGCCCCTGGTTTCTAATTAAACCCTATCTAGGATGTAATTTTGTTTCTGAATTCTGCTGTCCTTTGCCAAGCAGTCATTGCCATAGAACATATTGCCTCAATTTGCAATTAAGGGTATTTATTTACTTTCTTTCCTCTTCTAGATGTTGGACTTCTAAGGGCAGAAACTCTGCTGTGTGACCACAGACCCTGACAATATTTCTTATAATACTTTGGGAAATATTTCAAGTAGTATCCAATGGGTGATGGTCCTCATGTCTTAGTTGAGCAAGCCTTTGCAGTCAGGACTGTGAGTATTTGCATGTGAGTCTATGCAGGTTCTGCATTGTACAACTCCAGGCCTCAAGCCACACGAATGTCAATGACACTTTCTAGTGGATTCACAAGACGAGAGTCTTTTGAAATAGTCTTTTGCTGTGATACAGAATCTGAGATGACTTTAAGAAAGATAAATATAATCCTTACCAAAAATTATCCTTATAAGATAGGCAAATTTGTATAAAGCCATATTGACCATGGGACAAGAAGGTGTCCAACTAGTTTTTGACAAGGCCCTCTTTTTTTTTCATAAGAATTCAGCCTTTGACATTAGATGAATATCCGTCCAGGTCAGCACATGTCACACAGAAAGAGGGTTTTTACTAAAACTTACATTATCAGTACACTGTATCCTCTTTCTGATTTATTTAGCACACATTTACTGAGCGCCAAGTAATAAATGAGGTACTCCAGGGATCTGGCACCATCTCTGCCCTTAAAGAATATATAGTCTTATCAGGACAAAACATATTGTGATTTTTAAAATTAACAGACTAAGTCACATTTTTTTAAAAAATTGAGCTGTGTTTAAGTGTAAAAATATCTTACAAACTAACATTGCAGTGGGCCAGGAAGGGGAGATTGCCATGGGTTGGACTAGTTATGAAGGACATGGCAAGAGTGGAGATGGCTGACATGAATCTTAAAAGATAGAATTAAGGAAGTTGGATAAGAGGTTGTGGGGACAAGGGAATAGGAACATTTCAGCCTGCGTTAAGGAATCTCGCTACCTGTTTTAACTTTTGTGCATAATATCCAAGAGATGTCACCTGCAACTAGGATTACAGTGATGATGTTTCTTTATTAACAAAATAGTTATCATAAAAGAAGAATTGACTTTAAGAAAGTTACATAGGTCTAATATCAAGACCTCAAAACCCCAAACTAAGTACAAATGCAAGCTACTTTTCTCTACTGTCTTTTTGTTTGGTGCTCAGAAGATGATACATGTGGAAGTTAGATGACTGAGACAGGATGATAGCGTGGCTTAAAGTGGTTAGATATGATATGACTTCCATTTATAGAACATAAAACTACAGTGCAAACAGGACTTTTTCAATGTGAGCAGAATTCCATTAGTTCTCTGGAGTTGGAAAGCAAGGATAACATCCATTTTATGAAATTTCTACAAGACTATACCCTTACAATATACAGAAGACAAAGGAGATAAAGTCTGATCTGTAAGAAACCTGAGTCTTTAGTTACATATATGTGCATATCATATTTTCACTGTATTTAGAAGTGTTTGTCATCAGGTAACTAGAAATAAGAGTTAGGAAAGAGCAAAGTGAAAGACGTCTTTATATTCCATAGTAGTTCTTTTCCCTATGGCCTTGTTTTTCTACAGAAGAGATAATTAAAAACTGACCTACATAAATGACAATTGTGGTTTGTGGGTAGAGTGATGAGTAGGGGACAAAGGGGGAGCATTAGGGGCTGGAGTTTTTGCAAAAATCCTTCCAGATGCACTGAAGGAAACACACTTCATCTGTGACATAGGAGATGTCACCATGAAAAACTCTTCATGGAAGGAGTTGAAGTCAGGTCCCAATGATGTTTTAGTAATTCAATAATTTTTTTTCACAGAGGGTGGATTAGTATGGGTCATCCATCCTAAAAGAAAAGCAATAGATTGTAAGTTAAAATACAGAGCTTTAAAAATTGCAAAAATTAAAATGTTGGTAATAAATATTCACTACAGATGAGAAGCAAATTAATGCTTTCAGCTGGAAATTTTGGACATTTTAAACAAAAGGGAAGAGAAGTCTAGAGCAAGACTTCTCACACTTTCTTGTCCTACTAAGAAAATTTAAATTTAAGTTCAAACTCTGATTCAGTAGGTCTGGTTGGGGCCTGAGGTTCTGCATCTCTTAGAAACTTCCCAGTGATACTCATAATACTGGTCCACAGATCACACCTAGAGAAATGTCTGTGCTACAACACTTGTCTGCAAATTTAGTGGGTGTGTACAACATTATATATTGATTTTGAACAGTGGAAAGTTAGGGTAGTGGAAGGCAGCATACGCAAATGGAATGTGAAATTAGGGAAAATCAAAACTCATGAAAGGAATGCCTAAATGAGTCTGATGGAATATGATTTAATGAGAGGGTGACAATTTTACTTTTATGGAATAAATACCATCTTTTAGAATGTTACAATTGCCTCAGTTTTGGAAAGGATTGAGGAGAATCAAATTTGTTATGTCTTAGCAACTTTGAAAAGGAGAACCAGATTCTGAAGCTCTGATCTTGTGATGAACTGTCAGGGTAAACCACAGTTCAGCAGCTGCAAATATGTTTGCCATATAGAGATAAAATGTTTCTGAAAGTAGAATCTCACATATACCCTCCTCTGAGGTTGGCATCATATCTTCCTGTGTATCTTGGGTGTAGCTTTTACCTAGGTAAAATTTAGGCACTAGAAACCAAATGAGGTGAAAAACAGAACCAGTTTGCAGAAGAGTCAAAATAACCAGCAAGAATTAAAACCACAAATGCCCAAGGAGTCATTCATTCACCAGTCAAAAGCTAATAGGAATGAGTACAAAGAACTATTGAGAGTTAACTCAAGAGCTCAAAAACATTGACACGTAGTGTTTAGTGTGACAGTGTTCATCTTACCTTAGGTTTTTTTCTAGAAACATACCCAATTTTGCCACCCCACCCTTCCTCAGTGACATCACACAGCGATTTAGTGTAAAAAAAAATCACATTACTGGAAAAGAAAAGCTTCAAGGACTTACAACTCTGCATATGAGTTGAGAGCATGATCCCTGGATCCAGATGCTACAAATCTCAGTTTTGCCATTTATTTAATGACTTCAGGCTAGCTATTGTAGTTATCTTCCTCTATTTCTTTGCTGTAACGGGGATATTGATAGTACCTAGTCTCCCAGGCTTATAGGAAATATTTAATCATTTAAGGTGTAAAATACTCAGAACAATGTGCAACATGGAATTTGATTAAAATTTATCTATTATTTATTACTATAACTAATTCAGTCACAAATTCAAGATCTACAGGAATGTTATTTAATTAGCTCAACTACAAATAGAGTTTGAACATGTTCAAGATTCTGTCATGACCTGAATTTCTATGATTCTGTGAATTAAGGTCATCTTAGTCAATAAAGGAAAGGCATCCCAAGGCAGCCAAGCAATTGCGAAGTATCTTCTAGACCACCTGATTAAGCATACAAGACATGTTGATGGGGCTTTCTTCCCTTTCCATATCTTATCCCTCAGTTTCTCAATAAACTAGGGGCTCCAGGCAGTTCTGCTCATTGGTCCCTAAACATGCTTTCATAGCCATGTTAACAAACCATTTTTACATTGTTTTCCTCCTTTGCACACCTTTCTTCCCTGATTCTCTCCGCAAACCTAAGTTCTATCATCCTTCAAAAAGCAACCCAGGTTCTACCTTCTTTATAAGGTTTTTCTGTAATGACCAAGCCCAGTGATCTTTTTTTTTTCTTCAATACAAAATTCGTCAGACATTTCCATACTCTGCCTTCTATTTTTTCTGACTTTTTCTGTATTTCTGTCTTTCCTCCCCAACTAGATAATAATAATCTCCCTGAAGTTAGGGATAAGACTTACTCCTCTTTGTGTATCAATAAAGTTTAGCATTGTTCCAACACAAAGGTTTTCAGTAATCAACTATAAATTGATTCATCGTAAAAAAAAACCAGTGAAACTTAATTTAATATGGTAATTTAATTAATGCTAATATTCTTCCAGCCAGTAGCTCTTCCTGTTCCCCAAGGACATTTAAAAGCATGAATTAAGCCACTTTTATCTTATGGTAATTAAAACAGGTGGTTCCTGTGGCCAAAAAACAGCTCTGGGTAGATTGTGCCAGAGTAGACTTTCACTCAGTGGGTGGCAGAAGGAAAGAAATCTTTACATCTTGTGGGTTTCCTGCTACAAAGGTAGGGAGGCCAGCTCCCAAAAGAGGACCCCTTTCTTACAAGAACCCCATCTACACAATTAAAGAGAAGACAGGATACTAAAATAGAATAAAAAGCACCCACACTGACTTTATGTCCCCACCCAGTTATCCCCACCATTCTTTCATAACCAAACTTTTTAAGAGAGACTACATGTTCTGCTTCTACTCTCTTATCCTAGGTAAATTCTCAACGTTTTGCCTTTTGACTTCTGTTTTGATCTCTGCACTGAGAACACTTTCCCTGTTGCTACTCTTTCTGCATCCAGTGCAAACTTACTGGTTCTCCGGGCCTCATTAGAAACTGTTTCCATTTCCTTCTTTCCTTAGCATTTGCGATGCTCTGCTCTTCCTCGTCATACTTCTGCCTCTCTGGCCACCTCTTCTCGTTCCCCCTTTCCTTAGCTGACTTGCTATACATTGAATGTTCCTGTGGTTCCAACCCTCTCCCAGGTCCTGTTCTATTTTCACATTCGCACTCTCCCTGGATGACCATACCCATTCCTGAAATCACCAATACTTCCTGAAATGTGAGAACCCCCAAATCCATGTTTCCTAACCCAAGGTAGGCCCTATGCTATGACCATACTGTTGGTGGGCCACCAACTACTGACGCTCAACAGGTACTAACCTGAACACATAATTTTTGCCTCCAAATCTCTTTCTTTCATGTTTCCTTCTCAGCACTAATACAACCACCTTCCAGTTCCCATGTCAGAAATATGGCAACCTCTTTAATTCTTATCTAAAGAATCTAATCTAAAAAGTGTCCAGTTTTTTGATTCTTCTCTCCCTCTTCTTCTACACCCTCCCTGCCACCAATTAAGAACTGATCTCCCCTTATCTCATGAGTCCATTTTCACTGCAATTTTTGTAGGTGGGCACTATCAACTTTAATCTAATAACATCAAATGCCTCCAAATCAGTCTCTTTACTTTCAGATTCATCCACCTCCCCTGTCTGCCACACTGCTGTGCAGGGTGATCTTCACAAGATCCAGAGATTACACACACTGCACGAGCACATTTAGGGATATCCCAGATAACTCAAGATAAGGCCTACATGCCTTCATATGGCTTATGGACTACTTTAGAATCTAGCCTTTGGTACCTCATCTCTCCCCAGGTTCTCTGTAGCAATCTGAGATACAATCACTGACCTGAGATCTCAGGAACAATCTGTGGCTAGTACAGTGGTTGCTGGAACAAGTATCCACCCTCTTCAGGAACCATCTTACTTTGTGTCTAGCATCCTTAAAGGAGCTCAGTTGTCAACTGAGTACTTATATGTCACCAAAGTCTCCTCTCCATAGTTCTTTATACTTACCCTCTCTAAAATTTCAAAGCAAGTCACAAAACTTATAAAATTTAAATATTTTGCCATCTTCATTTCTGTCAAATGGACCATGCACTTTTATGTGTCTATTTTTTTCATCCCAATATTCTACATTATTGCTCAATTAAAGAATTTGATTTTTGAGGCCAAACTTACAAAAAAAGTTCCTCTTTGGGGCAGTTGTGGGTAGAATTCATGCTTTCCACCTCTTCCACATTTCTGAAGGTAAATGCTTAGTAGAGTAGTAGTCATTCACTCCTTTGTGTTAGGCACTGAGCACCTGGGCTCTAGGGATGTACCTTCCCATCATTAGTTTCTAATAAGTGTACAGGAATCTGTGAATTGAATTGAGTGTTTCTCAACTACTATATGTAAGTCCTTATGTATGTTTACTCTGGACACATAATAAGAAAACAACATAATACTTGTAATTCTCAAAGAAACTTCAGGGACAATCAGGAAAAGCTCTCTTTACATAATAGAGTATTACTCATACTTTCATTCACACAGCTTCATTAGTATAAAAAAATCACAAATTTTACAGAATACTGATTTCTCACCTTATCTGAAAACTTTATGTTGATAAAACCTCCATGTAAATAACTACTCTGGGATTAATATTTCTAGCTATAACAGGAAGTATCTTTAGGAAAGTAGAAATGGAATCAGCATATTCCTTACTGACAAAACTTACCTTTTCTGAGATCTCTTGCCTAAAAATAAAATAGAGAAATGGAATCAGTCAAAGGTAGACAATTTAAATTTTTAAAGTAAGGGAGAAAAGGAATTTCCTCCCTCACAACCATCTTTTTTGAAGTATATTGTGCATTTATTACATGGACCCCAATCTATATCTAATAGGATGTGAAGTACTGGCTTAATGTTCTAATTCAGTGGTAGATATTCAGTCAACACATATGTTGATGTGAATGCAGAAGGTTCTATTCTACCCACTATGCTGTTCATAAAGACAGAAGTCTAGAGGGAATTTCCTGGTGGTTAGATCCAGTGTGCCCAGTCACATGTTTATGTTACATCTCTTTCTATCAGCACACTTTTCCTAAAGGACTTACCTGCTAATACTGTAGGGATATGTGTCATAGTATCTTTTAGCATCTTGTCTATGTGAATCCATAAGAGAATTTCACTCTAGTCTCATTAGTAGGCATTACATAGCCTAAGTAACTGATGTGTCTTCATCTTACAAACATATTATCATAACTTCTTATACTTCCTTTACTGGCTGGTTGCATGGAAACTCAGAGCTAGATCTGGAGACCTTCTTCTATCACATGTATAGGACTCTGTGACACACATTTTTATGTCCTAACTGAGTCTTCATTCCAGTTTATTTTTATTTGTTTATTTATTTATTTTGGTGGCACTGGGGGGCTGAACTCAGGGCCTTGCACTTGCTATGTTGGTGTACTACCATATGAGCCACAACCCCCAACCTTTTTTGCTTTTGGTTATCTTTTTTTTTAGTGTTTTATTACTCATATGTGCATACAATGCTTGGGTCATTTCTCCCCCCCTGCCCCCACCTCCTCCCTTACCACCCACTCCATCCCCTCCTTCTCCCCCCCACCCCCTCGATACCCAGCAGAAACTATTTTGCCCTTATCTCTAATTTTGTTGTAGAGAGAGTATAAGCAATAATAAGAAGGAACAAGGGTTTTTGCTGGTTGAGATAAGGATAGCTATACAGGGAGTTGACTCACATTGATTTCCTGTGCTTGTGTGTTACCTTCTAGGTTAATTCTTTTTGATCTAACCTTTTCTTTAGTTCCTGGTCCCCTTTTCCTATTGGCCTCAGTTGCTTTTAAGGTATCTGCTTTAGTTTCTCTGCGTTAAGGGCAACAAATGCTAGCTAATTTTTTAGGTGTCTTTGAGATAGGGTCTTGCTTTTATGCCTGGGCTGGCCTGGACCATTGTCTTCCTATTTATTTAATCCTCGCAGCTAGGATGACAAGTGGATACCGCCATGCCTATCTTGTACTGGTTAAGATGAGGGGTCTTGTTAACTTTTTATCTGGGCTGACCTCGAACTGCATCTTCCAGATCTCTGCCTCCTGAATAGCTAGGATTATAGGCTTTAGCCACTGCACCTGACCCTAATTTATTTTTGTATCTTAAATTTTTGGCTTTATTTTTCTTATTTTTTAGCTAATTTTAATTTGCTACATTGACTACATTTTATAAACTGTTTTGTGCTTTTTTTAAGAAAAGCAGAATAAAAATAAGTAGATTAATGATTGATCTCCAGAGTTGAGGTCTACAGGAAAACAAAGCAAAAGAAAAAAAAAACCGAAAGAGCTCTTTGAGGAGAAAGACTCCTTTGGGGAATGATATATTTCAGTGGCTATAAGCTAAACATACCACCCAGATGTGAACCCTGTTTTGCCACCTGTAGGCTAGTAGGGCTTTGAACAGTTGTTTAACCTCTATAAGTCACATTTTCTTCATCTGTAAAGGGGACATAGCAATTGTATCTTCCCCATTAGGTTAATAAAATTCAAAGTAGTCAGACCAGAGCCTAGTATTTAGACATTGCTGAATCACTATTTTAATCCTTTTAAGTGTTAGAAATTGCTATTTTAAAGCTTTTCTTCCAAAATTCAGCTTGCTGATGACATGAACCAAATACACTTGAGCAGAGAATCAACTTTGGATTAACTTCAGGTTTTATTTGTATATATTCATAGAAATATATTTTTTCTGTTAAGAACAATGAAACAAAAAACAATATATTAGTAAAAATTTGTTCCTACAGAGAAGGTTGTTTTTTAAAGAAAACGGAACCAGGGGGCATGTGTTCCGTTTCATGCTCTTTTCTAACCCTGTGTTGTTTCAAGTGGAAAATTCTTCCAACCAAAGGGGGAAACAGTCTTTCAATCTTGAGAAAGGGCTTTCAGGGTACATGTCTGGATGGGAGTCTGATCTCTGATTCTGGCCGCTACTGATAAGGCATTTTAGAGGTCTGGCCTAAAACATCATTGCCTCAGTTTGTTCTTTTACCAAATAGAGCCAATGGTAGCTACTAATCAGAGAAAGATGGTACTAGGAGCATGAACTGTTTCTAGATGAGCCCATGCACAGGGAGCATATTTCTGGAACATTTCCTGATTCCCTGGAAAAGGTCAATAAAGTCTGAATACCAAGACTGCTAGGGTAGGGGCTTCAGTGCCAGGTTCAGAAAATCCATCTGAGGACAGAAGAACAGGGGTCAAGGCTGGGTCACTTCACTGGTCACCATGCTCCAAATTGTCATTCGGGTTCTTTTTGCAGCTTTCTGAACCCAACAAGCCTATAAAATTCTCAAAATAGAGGAATACTAAATATTCCTCTATTCTACAGATAAATCCTACAGATTTATTATTTTTCACTTTTATCCTTGTAAATGCATCTGCTAAATTTCTAGGAGTTCAACTTGGGAACTTAGCCATCATTTCTAACATTGTTTCTATTGGAAAAATATTGTTCATATTTTAAAGAACCAATTTACAACTAAAATTTCTGCAAGAAAAAATGATTCACTTGAAAGTTGGAGATATTGATAGATGTTTCACAAATAAATACAATTTAAATGTAACATTAAAGTCAGTGATCTTTTGGGGCGTTTGTTCCCTTTGGTGGCATAACTGTAAATAGCCTAAGTGCCTGTTATCTGTTTCCTGTTTGCCCCACACCGATTCCCACAGCAAGGGCATACAGTTTTCAATATCAGTTTGAGATCTTGTACAGAAATGACTCCAAGGTAAAAAAAAAAATTAAAAACAACTCTACTGCTTTTCTCACTCTGCTTGTAAAACAACACATTAGCCAGTGAATACTTCATTTAATAACCTGGCTTCAATTCTATTCTTTTCATTCTAAAACCACTTGTTAAAGAATATAAAATTTTGAAATCAGTACCTCCATATTAAGGTGACTTTCATCCCAAATGTCCTTAAAATTATTAAGATAAAAACCACCATATCTCAGGAAGCAGTGTGCAATGACCCACTCTGTTTTCACCCCCTTTAGTTCTACCATCATCATCCACAACAGGAAGAAAGAAAGGACAGTTGGTGTAGGCTTTGAAGTCTCAATGGAAAGAATAATCAATGTTGAGAGAGAAATTGTTATTCTTTTTTCTGCTTTAGTGAAGTTTGTAAGAACTATATGATGGTGGGATCAAACTCAACAGTGGAGACATTTTTAAGGCTCAGTGCTCTGAGATTACAGTTAATGAAGTTCTTGCACATAGATAGTGCCACCTCCATTATCTTCTAGGTTCCTTAGAAAACTAATCTAGCACTTCCTATTCTTATGTTTGGATGAAAGATCAATTCATAGTGGAAGACCATTAGGGTTGGCAGATAATATTCCTGGAATTGCCAGGAATATTGCCAGGCTACAACCTTTGCATACCATATTCAGTGTACAGAATACATGCTAATTTAGTGGAAGGGAAATTTAAATGATCATCAACTGATGCACAGAAAGGTAGCACAGAGTAGCTGTTCATCAATTGTTTTGAGGTCACCTATGGCCCCTGACCTTGAAAAGGGAGAATCACAAAAACTTCCCAGTGCCCACCTGGTTCTGCCATGTGAGTTTGACCAAATATGGCAATGCTCACCTAAGGCCTGCTGCAGACTGTGGGCTGCAACTGGTAGGTTGGTCCCACCTTACAGTATGGACACACTTTGAGTGGAGGAGGGAATGAGAATGATGCTGTGTCCTTCCCTAGTAATATTCTATCTACCACCTAGGCAGCAGGCAGTAACTTCTCAAGACAGACCTCCTTTTCCCCTCTTACTCTCCAGCCCAGGATGAAGAGAAAGTAAATATGATGCATTTGGTTACAATTGAGGCCTTGGTAAGCAGATACCAGGGAGAATACATGGGGATTCCTCCCAAGGACAATGGAATTCCTACATGTAAGGAGTCAGACAGGTATGTGACTCTTAAAGAGATCACATATTTGACAGCAATATTAGAACATTAGATTCACTTCCTGTAAAATTGTAGCACTGAAATCAAAGGCTTATAGGCTCTAAGAGGACAGTGATTATGAGTTCTTTTATTTTCCAGAATGAAATAAGAGCAAAGAACCATTAGAAAGCCTCACTTAGCTGTTATCACCCTACTAAAGTGCTTTGAAGACAATAGATTTTTTTTTTAAAGTGTGCCTACTTTAAAGCAAATGTCAGCGAGCTTTTTTAATGAAGGTGTGTGCCAACCTGATTTACATATCTCCAGGGGCTGATGTCTATAAAACACAAAACTTGGCACCTGCTTCACTTGAATCTACTGCACTTAATTTCCTGTGGGTTTCTTTATCTTTTTTCCACTTTAAAGTTGTTTTATTTTCATATAGAGTTAAGCTTACATACCTTTTCTTAATCGCCTTGCCAGCCAAATTATAAATGCCAACCCAGAGAATGCAGTGACCATGACTGCCACTGGAATGAAGAGGGGGTTGTAGTCACCTTCCTTGATCATTGAGAAACTTCTGTCTAATTCTGAAAGAGGAAATCAGTAAGGCACATAGCATGAGATCACAAACATTATTTCCTTAGTCCAACTCCTTGATATTTGACTTGTTTCTTCCTCATGCCTCCCAATAATAACTCACTTGATACCATTTGACAGATGAGGAAACTAGTGTGGGAACACCCACAATGAGTCTACAGCAGAAACAAAGACTGGACCAGCCTCAGGCCTAATGCCTATGGAATCTCAGTCCTCAGATTTGTGATTCATGGAATCCTGAGAACGCATCTAAAAATCTTGATTAAAAAAGGTCAGCATGTGTTTAGCTCCATGATCTTGTTCAATGTTTGGAACTCCAAAATATAGAGAAGGACTAGAAAGTCCAATACTACTTCAGGAAAAAGAAAAACCAATGATCTGAACTGGGTAACTTATCAGTCAAAGGAAACTATTACTTGTTTGACTTTAAGCAGGTGTACAAAAACAAGCACTTGTTTATGTGCCAAGGACCTGCACTAATTTATCAAATGATGTAATCCTACCACTTCCCTTCACTTCCTTTATAAATAAGTAAAAAGACACATGTACATATCCTTTTGTAAATTCAAATTAAGTTCATCTGCAGACTTTTATTGAAAAAATACTAATATGAAAAAAGCTTGTCTTTTGATACCTCCAGATGAAAAAAAATCTACATTTACACATTGGCATCTATTGGCTTGATGAAGATGAGAAAATGGACACTAACCAGGCCTGAGGAGGAACTGTGCCTGATAAATCTGATCTACAGTCCTCTCCTAAAGGGCTGCCTCCCTGATGCCTCTTTGCTCCATGACTCAGCTCTAAATACACAGAGATCACCTTCTCTGACACCTTCTACAGATCTTACCTCTTAAAGACTTTGGCTATCTGTGCAGATGGTCTGTAGGCGAGAACTACCATTTCATATACTAATTTAATGCACACTTATTTTAGCACCTTTTGCCAGGCACCCTGTCAGGTGGAGGACATAAAAAAGTGAGGAATATATGATCCTTCTCATTACAAACAGATTTGGGAGATATCAGGTTAGTTGATAACTGGGAAGTATCCATTATCTTGAAAATAAAGTGGTCAGTGATAACTCTAGTAGAAGTACTTCAAAGAACTGTGAAGTCAGAGTATAGTAGAATATTAGAATGGATAAGAAATAAATCAGTGGAGATGGTGTATTTAGATTTTAAGTTAAGAAGGGAGAAGTTGAGATTAAAAAAAAGAAATGACTATCATTAAAGCAAGAGTCAAGAACACCCAATGATTTTAAAGTAAGTTAATGCATGTGAATTTATTTTTGATAACATATTTAGCAACAGGAAATTTAAAAGTTTAGTATATTTTTTGAGGGTATTTGATTTTTTTTCTTTTCTCCTTTTATTTTGTCATTTTTACATTTACTTATATGTGTATACATTGTTTGTGCCACGCCCCCCCCAGGCAGATCCTGTTCTGCCCTCTTATTCTCTGATTTTGTTGAAAAGAAAACAGGAGATAATAAGAAAGACATAGCGTTTTTGGAGTGTGAGATAAAGATAGCTATACAGAGAGATTCCTAGCATTGCTTCCATGCACATGTGTATTGCAACCCACATTGGTTTGTCTCTACCAGACCTCCTCGCTTCCAGGCAGAACCTGTTCCACTCACTTCTCCAACATAGGAGATAATAAGAAAGACATCATTTTTGCTAGTTTGGGATAAAGATATCTGTACAGAGAGATTCCTAGCATTGCTTACATCACTTGTGTATTGTAACCCACATCGGTTCATTTCTACCAGACCTCTTCGCTACTTCCTGGTCCCCTTCCCATAGTGGCCTTTGCCAATTTAAGAATTCTATATTTGCTTCTCAACAGTGAGCACATCAGCTGCATTCAAGTTTTATGTTCCTTTCCTTTCCCTATTTCTCCTGTGCATGTTCTCCCCTTAGTGTGTAACCCATGTCCAGTAATATTACTGCATTTGTTTTGGGTCTATAATCTGCATATGAGGGAGAACATGCAATTTTGGGCCTTCTGAGCCTGGCTAACTTTGCTTGAAATGATGTTCTCTAGTTCCATTCATTTACTTGCAAATGACAAAATTTCATTTCTTCTTTGTGGCCGAGTAAAATTCCATTGTGTATAAATACCACACTTTCTTTAGTATATCTTTCTCCACTATCTGCTCATCAATCAATTCCTTCTTTAAGTCTTTAAGTATCAGTACAAACTTACTCACTTTGACATATTGGACTAGAACTGGACCACTCTCCAGATTTTCCACACACAGTTTTCTTCTCCCCCTTTAACTCAGTGCCTTCTGAGCAGTTGAAGGTGCATGCAGACGTAAAACTGAAGTTAGCCACGGGGTGGATACAGTCTATGGTCCCCAAATCAGGTGCTGTTAGAGACTTACACTGAATCACTTCAATAAAAAGAACAAAACATCACAAAATAGTATTTCTAATTAGAGACTCTCTCTTGATCATAAGTTTTTAGGCAGAGCCATATGACTTAACACATGAATCTAAAAATTCTTAATTTGTACAAATTACTTCTGATAATGCTTCCAAACTTTATGTTCTTGACAATGATGTTGAGTAGTAGGTCAGGGATGAAGTTAAGAGGGCACTGGAAGCCCTTAGTGAGATAGGAGTGGCTGTTCCAGGCTGTGCCTCAGTATGGTGATTCTCTAATCTGCTACATGTGGCATGCCACAAATTCTCTGCCTCAAGACTGCTCATGAATCATTCCTAGTGAATATAGAGAATTTTCACCTGTTATAAAATCTACCTAAGTAGTCTTGAAAAGTACCTCAATTCTCTGACGCAAGCCCAACTTCCATACAATTCACCAGGTGGGTCAATTTAGTTCTGTGATTTCAATAAAGCATGTTGACATTTCCTTTGAGAATTAAACTATGTAAGGTAGTGAATCAGGACCATAAATGTAGAAATGTTATCAAAAGTTCGTGAGGAACTGGTACTAGTAGCTCACGCTGTAATCCTGACTACCTGGGAGGCAGCGATCAGGAACATCATGGTTCAAAGCCAGCCTAAGCAAAACAGTTCTTGAGACCCTATCTTGAAAATACCAAACACAAAAAGGGGCTGGAAGTGGCTCAACCAGTGGAGCGCTTGCCTAGGAAGTAAAAAAAAAAAAAAAAAGTACATGAAGGCAGACACCAAAAGTTTTTCTGATGTGGGGATTATCTTGGCAGTGAAAAAGAGGGGAAAACCTACTGTATTTCAAATGGGAAAAAAAATCAAGAGATTTGTTTTTGTTACTCACAATAGTTGTTATTCTCCTGAGAATTTACACAGGAGGTAAAGATGATTTTAAGAAAATGCCAACTAAAACAACCGAAAAGACCTCTGTCTCTGTATGAAGGAAATTGCTTGGTGTTAACTAGGGCACCACATAAAATAGGTGTTGTTGACAGGGTAGGAACCAAAATTTAACTGAGGTTCATCAAGACTTATTATTTATGCAATGGCAATAGAAAAAAATAATAGTAAACCACATTATATTGCTATAAATCAGGTTATACACTGTGAGATACTTTAAAGGCATTCAGTTGTTACTTTTTCGTTTGTTTGAGGGTTTTCTTTTTAACCTTATTAAGAATAACCTCTTTGAAAAGCATCACACTACAATCTAAGTTAGGTGAATTGTGCTCCAAAAGAGGATACAGACTTTTTATCAAGACTCATTTCAACTATAAACTCAAGACTACCATTATAATGCCTCTGGTATGAAGTTACCTTGACAGGTTGGTCCTAGTGAGGACCAGTTTCCAAATGGTCCACAATTTGTTTCTTCACTCCCAACCAGGTTTGTCCCCTCAGAGCACTGGAAGGTACACTGTGAGCTGAAGCTGAAGTCTCCCAAAGGGTGAGTACAGTTCATGGTACCCAGTTCTGGGGCCCTCAAAGGCTCACACTGGACCACTTCAAGGAGAAAAGAAACAGCATTGGGGAGTGTTAAAAAAAGACCTGGTGAATCTGAATCCTAGCTATGTCACTTGCTAACCATGTGCATTTAAGCAAGGTTACTTAAACTCTCCAACTTCAGTTTCTTTATCCATCAAAGATGAACAATGATAGTTGTGCAGCGGCCCTTGGTATCTGCAGGTATATGGTTCCAAGGACACTGATGCTGAAGAAACCGGAAATGCTGAGGATACATAGAGTTCAGTTCTGTACTACAAATGCTTGATTCATTTTCCTCATAATGCCACCCAACTTCCACTAAAAACATGCTGCCTTTAACAAATTTGAAATTTTTACTTCATCACTTAAACTAAGCACATTGCATACTCTTTTTTGACTTATAAGGACTACCATAACTTTTACCTTGCTTTCTTGGTATCATTTGTTTTGGGGAGACATATTTTTACAAATTAAGGGCAGGGAAAACCCTCAGCTGATCACATAGGATTTAAAAACAACTGCCGATAGTACAGGACTCTCTGAGAGCTCTCCATATCAACTGAATTGTACAATGTGAGTGTGGGAATCAAAAATTTTTGTTTTTGAAATTTCTTTTATTTGTTTAATTTTTTGACTGTGCTTGGTCAATATCACATGTAATAAATCTGTAAATAAGGCATGCTTACTATATTACATAGGATTTGCTTGGGAACTAAATGCAATTCAATTATTGTTAACGTGAGTGTTTAGAACAGTGTTGCATGTGAGAAATCCTAATTAAACATTAGCTGGTCTTTATGTTATTATCTTTGGCATCACCTGGACAAAAGACTTTTAAACCCAGATACATTTAAGTGGGAATAACCAGCTCAAGTGAAAAACAAGTATCACATCAGAGTCCCTGAGAATACTGGGATAGTAGGAGTCAGAGGTTCAGAGAAAGAGGGAATCTCCAAAATTAGTCCTCTTTAAAATGGAACAAGGTAAAAGTTTAAGAAGAATCTTGGATTCAGTTCTGTTTTTACTCTCCTTCAGTCTGTTCCAAAACTTTTGCTATTCTGATTTTGATAATTCTTTGCAGAAACTGCATCTATTTCCTTGCTGTGACTGGTAGACCAAATAAAGTCTGTACATTTTAGGTCCTGCCAAGCCATTGGGCAAATATCATAATTCTTGTTTCTCACTTCTTATCTATAAAATGTGAGTCATCATTCCAACCTTGTTGTTAAGATTCCAATGAAGAATGTACTTAAGGAATTAGAACCCTTTTTGTGTTGTCCATATACAGCTCAAGTTCAAATTAATTTGCCCAATTCAATTTAGACCCATACGCAAGTGTCTGATATTTTGTGCATCACCTGAATCCCACAGATACAGTCATAAATAGAACACTTATTGATCTTAAGAAACTTTCAGTGCCAGGGCAGATGACCTCAATAAATTTGGGATAAATGAGAAAGAACTATGTAGAGAGACTGAAAACTAGCCTAGAAGGACTCATCTGCATTTTCTCAGACTGTAAACACTGAACTACCTCAATAAAGCCTCTAGTGTGAAGTTACTCACTTTGACAGGTTGGTTCTAGTGAGGACCAGTTTCCAAATGGTCCACAATTTGTTTCTTCACTCCCAACCAGGTTTGTCCCCTCAGAGCACTGGAAGGTACACTGTGAGCTGAAGCTGAAGTCTCCCAAAGGGTGAGTACAGTTCATGGTACCCAGTTCTGGGGCCCTCAAAGGCTCACACTGGACCACTTCAAGGAGAAAAGAAACAGCATTGGGGAGTGTTAAAAAAAGACCTGGTGAATCTGAATCCTAGCTATGTCACTTGCTAACCATGTGCATTTAAGCAAGGTTACTTAAACTCTCTAACTTCAGTTTCTTTATCCATCAAAGATGAACAATGATAGTTGTGCAGCGGCCCTTGGTATCTGCAGGTATATGGTTCCAAGGACACTGGGGCTGAAGAAACCGGAAATGCTGAGGATACATAGAGTTCAGTTTCATACTACAAAAATTTTTACTTCATCATTTAATTTTTAAGCACATTACATACTCTTTTTTGCCTTGTAAGAACTACCATAACTTTTACTTGCTTTCTTGGTACCATTTATTTTGGGGAGACATATTTTTACAAATTAAGGGCAGGGAAAACCCTCAGCTGATCACACAGGATTTAAAAACAACTGCTGATAGTAGAAGACTGACTGAGAGCTCTGCATATCAACTGAATGTGCATGTAGAAATAAAACATTTTTGTTTTTGAAATTTCTTTTGTTATTTATTGATTTATCTAATTTTTTGACTGTGCTTGGTCAATATCGCTTGTAATAAACCTGCAAATAAGGCAGGCTTACCATATTAACTTCATAGAATTTGTATGGGAACTAAATGCAATTCAATCACTGTTAACTCAAGGGTTTAGAACAGAGTATTGCTTGAGAGAAATCCTAATTAAATATTAACTGCTCCTTATGTTATTATCTTTGACATTACCTGGAGACAAGATTTTCAAACCCAGTACATTTAAGTGAGAATAACCAGCTCCAGTGAAAAACAAGTCTCACATCAATCAGAGACCCTGAAAATACTGGGATATTGAGAGAGGTTCAGAGAAAGAGGGACTCTCCATAATCAGTCTTCTTTAAAATGGGAGAAGGTAAAAGTTTAAGAAGAATCTGGGATTCAGTTCTGTTTTTACTCTCCTTAAGGCTTGGACCCAAATAAATATTCCTGGAAAAATTATGTCTGAACTGTTTTACATGTGAACAAATGTGTTAGCCATGTGTAAAATAAGAGAGAGTCCCATAAGTAAAGTCAATGAGATACAAAAATACGTGATAATTGGAGAACTGCAAGTACTTTAATATTAGTAGAAGAAAAGAGGAGGTAGAGCATGATATGAGATGTGATTAGGAAGAAAGACAAATCTAAGACCAAATATTCTTATGTCTTGCATTATTTAATGAATGCATATTATATGTCAAGTATTACTCTAGAGTTTAACGAATTTAGGTTCCATCCTATAAGACAAATGATAGGTACAAATTAAAGGGAAGATGGTCATGTATGTGTGGTGTATTTTGAATTTTAATTGACCTGCCTGCCTATAGTATGAGCAATATACTTGAGGGGAGTCAATTTAAAGTTTTAAGGCTCATGTTGGAGACTACTGTAATAATTTAGGAGCAAGAGAGGGGGCAATGTAGTAGAATTGTCAAGTAAGAGAGAAAATGAAGCAACAAGTTGTAACAATTGGTAGTATTGCTACCTTGCACAAGTATTGGGGCAAGTGGAAAAGTCTCACAACAGAGTGTCCAGGTAAGTGAGGGCACCATTTAGTGAGATTAAAAATTATGGAGGGAGGTGACAATTGACTTCATAAGTTTGTGGACCTCCCAAAGGGTATACTTAGCATATGTGGAGTTCAGGGCTGGAGAAAGATTTGTCAATCCGAAGATCACGTAAATTTGTGAGTCCACAAAAACCAGTAAGTTTGACCAAAAGGAACATGGAAAGTCAGAGGAGCAACAGACAAAAGACAAAACTGAGAAATGTAATAGTTTATGGGCTTGGAAAAGTGTTTATGATGGAACTCAGGAGAAATGGTTATGAGTAGAAAAAGAATTAGAAACAATGATATGATGGAAAGAAAAATTTAAAAAGACTATGATACTTTAAAAGGAGTGAAATGGGCATAACAATAAGGGTTAAAAAAACAGTGTTCCCGAATAGAGGTATTGGCCAAGAGATTAAGTGGAAAGAGTTATATATATTCTATTTGGTTGACATTTAAATTTATTTTGACTTCAATCCTTTTTTTTTTTTTTTGGCAGTACTGGGGTTTGAACTCAGGGCCCTGTGCTTACTAGGCAAATGCTCTACCACTTGAGCCATGCCTCTCACCCTTTTTGGTTTAGATATTTTTTTGAACAGGGTCTGCATTTATGCTAGGGCTGGCCTCAACCATGATATACTCCTATTTACATTTCTCATGTAACTGGTATAACAGGCACTGCTTACCAACAAATCCAGATTTTATTGATTGAGATGGAGTCTCATGAACTCTTTTTCCTGGGCTATCTTTGTACTGTGATCCTCCTGATCTCTGTTTCCTGAGTAGTTAGGATTACAGGCATGAGCCACTCTCTGGCTTGGCTTCCACTCTGTATTCTTTAAAATCATTGTTTTTTTTTCTTATAATTTTCAATTTTATCTATTTTTCAGATACTTTACACATAGTTTTACAACTTGACCAACATCAGTGAAAGGAATTGATGTTTCTTTCAGTAGTGGTTGACTGGGTCAAAGACTTCAACTTTGAATCTGCATATTTTTCCTTTCCATTTCCACCACTGCAGCTATGAATGACTTTAAAAGATTCCTGATGATTCTACTTTCTTTTTGCTCACTTATGTGATTTTTCTAAGATAATTGCCATACATACCAGTGTTAAGACACTGGTTGGCCTCTCCATGCCAAGTCAAGGCCATGTTCCTTCAATAAGCAGTCTCCAGTCTTTACATCCTTACTCCAGCTTGTCTTGCTTTCTTCCAAACTCAATTGTGAACATATATAACTTCCATTAAATAACTATAAACCCTTTAAAGGCATAATCTATAATATATTTGCCTTTTATATTCCTGAAATACCTATCCCAAATAAATGTGTAGAATTTGTTACTATATATTTCTGATATACACTGGGTATCAATATATGAACTTTTCTGTTTGACTTTGTTCGGTCATGACTTTCTATAAATAAGCTAGAGTACCTTCTAATAGTAAATGATGTAGTTTTTTTCAGATTCCTGAATTCTAATCAATCCAGGAAGCTCGTTAGATTGTGAGCTACTTAAGAGCAGAAACCTACAATGCCTGATTCATTATTATAAACTGTGTAGCTTTTATCTCAACCTTTTATTCCTTGTAGTACTCTAAAACACTTGTGAAGTGAATTGAAACTTCATGCTGACTTATGAAATCTTCTGGGAAGATAACAGCATTGTGAAAGCATGACTTTCTGATCACAAGTTCCCATTTCTCAGAATGGTTAGTATCAGTTTGTCCCAACTGGTATCATTTTTGTCCCAACCAGTTTCTACCATAAAGGTATAATGATTCCTGTGACATTACATAGGAAGAAACAAAGAAAGGAAATGAGCTTACCAAACTGGCATTCAGGCCCATAGTATCCCACATCACAGTTGCAGGTGTAATTATTGATGATTTCCACGCATTCTCCATGGCCACTGCATGAACTGGGCTGGCAAGAAGCTTGAAGGGGGTCAGAAAAATTCCTTTAATGTGATTACATGTTAGCACTCGTAGTCATTTCCTTACACGTAGGTAACTTTTTGTCTGAAACCATTTTTGATAAACAGGAAATATGCACAGCATTTTTATTTTTCCTTATTTTTGTTTTTTATTAGCATACATTAATTGTACAAAGGTATTTCCTTGTGGAATTCGCATACATGTATATAATGTACTTTGATCAAATTCACCCCTCTCTATTACTCTTTCTTAAACTCTCTCTTTCTTCCCTACCCCTTTTAACAGTTTATTTCACAGCATCTTTTGCATAAAAATGCTATGCTAGGCCAGGTGCAATGGCTCAAGCCTATAATTCTAGCTACTCAGGAAGCAGAGATTGGGAGGGTCATATTTTGAGGCCAGCCTAGGAAATGAGTTAGCAAGACCCCCATCCCAACCAATGGCTGGGCACAGTGGCATGTGACTGTGATCCCCAGCTACCAGGGGAAGTACAAACAGAAGGATCATAGTCCAGGCCAGTCAACCGTATCTCAAAAATAACCAACACTAAAAGGGCTGGAGGTATGGCTCAAATGGTAGAGCTCCTGCCTATCAAGCATAAGTCCCTAAGTTCAACCCTCAGAATCATCAAAAAAAAATCCTATGGTAAAGTTTACATTTATGGAAAATAATGACCATATGATCTTAGGCAGTTATTTTCCTTTTAGAATGAATTTACTGAAAGTAAGCTATCAGTAAAGGAAGTTAAGGAGCATACATTAAACCTTTGAAATTACATGTTGTTAGTACAATAAGCAGGTTAAATGATGATCTAACTTCTGTTTGGCAATCCATTTCAGTATAGAAAGTACTAAGATTAGATAGTCTACGCTTTTTAAAGATGTAGAGAGTCCAAGTTACAAAAAAACCCCAAATTACTATGTTTCACTGTTAATATGACTTAGAAAAATTCTGACTATGCTGGAATTGTAATGGTTTTTTAAAGAAATTTTCATCCCCCAAAGTTAGTGCAATGTTTTGTTACCTGGAATTAATAGGATTAGTCAAGAAGGAAACATATAGCACCAAGCCCCATACTTTATAATGAGGAAACAGGTAATATGACCCTAGGGCCTTAACCAGCCCATATCTCAGCATCAATCTCCTACCCTTCATCAGGGGCATGGGTTGTCTGTCCCTACTTCTCACACAATGGACTTATCACCTTAGTGTAACTTGATATAGGGATATAGTTGTTGGGTATAAGTAGCAACTTTACACGCCTCAAAATGCTCAGAATTAAAGTGATTCAAGCTTATTTAGAGGACTGGAAGTATTTTAGAATAAACTAGCAAATCTTTCTGGAGTAAGGCTGATTATTCTAACTTGGGCCTCCTGGTCAATCCCCACCTGTATAGCAGAGGGCTGCCTTTCGTTTGTGGCAGGCATCATCATTCCATTTTCCAGAATCTCTGATCCTCTTTATATAGATCTCCACACAGTCCTCCTTGGACTTCTTGTTGTTGGGTTCCCCAGATCCCCAGTTCTCTGCTTCTTCAGTGAGAGACTTGTTAGTTCCCACCCATGTCCACGTATGTCCAATCTTCCGGATTCCTATCCAGTAGTAAGTTCGGCTGAAGGGCAGCATCTTCTCTAGATACTCAATTTCTCCCTTATTTTGTATGGCAACTAAATCTGTGTAATTTTCTTGGCAGAACTTTCTAGCATTTTCCCAATTCATGGGTTTTTCAGAATAATGGTAAGTCCAACAGTTGGTTCCATGATATGCCAGGAAATCTGAAAGGCATCATCTTGAAATATGTTGACTCACGTAATGTTACAGCTGAAAAGAACACAACACTACTCCTCCAGGCTGATCCTCCACTTAGAGATGAGGAACTAAGAGCCCAGAGTAAGTGAACATCTAAGGAGCAGAAGTTGTTTGTAAATTTGAAACAGAACCAAGACCTTCTGGTTTGAAAACAGAATGTTCTTGCTATGGCATTATTTTACACAAATCTAGTTGTTTTCATGAGGTAGTTTTTTTCCTAAATTCTTTCAGGTGGAATTTAACCACACATATTTTAGAAAATCTTATTTCATTTCCTTAGGATCTGTCAGTCATTTAAAATTCCTATATCCTAAGTACCTAACAGTGTGTGCACATTGTTGGGACTCAGAAAATGCTTGTTGAATAAAAAGAATGCTAGATTCCCAGGAGAAACAAGGCAAACACAGTGTAAGGAATATATGAGGGGCAGAGTGAATATGTTTACTTAGAGCTAAAAATCCTGGTGATGGAATAAGAAGATATTTGCTTACTTAGGAAATGGGAAAGTAAGTCCAAATGTATTAATGGAAAGTCTTTAAGACTCAGACATAAAACTTGTAACCCTAATGAAAGAAGCACCACAAAAGCAAAAGTTTCTGACTTTAAGGAGCTTACACTGTAACTGTAGAAGTTACACTGATATACTTTGAACTATTAGTAGAAAATTGAATACTAAATAATGTATACAGATTGTAAGTGCCTTATTAGAGATTTCTTAGTTAACTTTATTCCTATAAGATTAAGTGCTTTTGTGCAATTATCAGGATTTAGAACTTGCCACAAGGGGTTTGGTGGGTAAAAATAGAGTTAGAAAGGTTCCTGGGGAAGTTCTAAAGATAAGAGGAAGAAAAGATATGATCATAGAAAGGGTAGTTAACAACTCTCTACCAAATAATTTTCTCTAGAACTATGTACTCTCAGTGGATATTTAAGAAAAATGAGTATATTACAAAGACTTAGCAATATACAAGTATCATAACATACCACAACAGAGCACTGTCCAGATCCACAATTTAAAGATGTTCCATAAGCCCCTCTGAGCACTCTGACATTTCCATGGAAGTATCTGCAAAAATACCAAAGGATTTAGATCGTTAATGATGTTTGCGGCACCTTGAAGAAGTGCCTACAAGTTTCTTAAAGTTCAAGATAAAACACACATCCCTACTAACCCTGCCCAAGGAAATATATGTCTCAAATATGAACAAAAAATTGCATCAAATTTACCCCAAAACCGATGGCACAGTTTTGCTTCCTTTTGCTTTCATGTTTCAGTCTCAAGTTACTGATCATTATTGCTTGGATATTTTTCTGAACTTCAGTCATTTTTGTACCTTCTTTTCTGCTGAGCTTTGAAATCAAACTATGTGCTATTTAGGTCTAGTTCTATCTTTTCACACTTGAACATGAAGGGTCAATGCCTTAAATACCTAAAAGAATTAGATAGCCTAACATTCAACAGGTAAGTAACACAGTTCATTTTTTTTCAGATAAGCAGAAATACATTTGAGTAACTCAAATATAAAACCACAAATTTTCTGTACAGCTTAAAACCATATTTTCTGAAATGCATCACTTCTCAGGTAACCATATGTCTCATTGCAAACTATTAATTTCAATAATACCTCTTCAAGAATCTCACCAGAGACAAAGTCAAGGAGAGGAAATCAGCACATCTGAGAGGAGAGATTCAAGGATCACTTTTTTACAACTCTAAGAACATTTTTAGTTTCTATCATTTTTAAGACCAAAAATGAAATGGGTTACTTCTTGCCCCTTGTCACCTGCCTTTACAACCCCAAGAAGAGTTTCTTTCTGAGTATCTGCAAATCTTGTAGGCTGAAAGGCTCACCATGGCTTTGCTTGGTCCTTCTCCAGTTCCTCTGCAGCCCTTCAGTCTCTCAACTCAACACCTGGGGCTCTGGATCCCTGTGCAAGCAAAACCTACTGTGCTTCAGGGAGGCAGCACAAGTGTCACCAGCAGGGTTTGCTTTCTTTCATTTCTCTAACCTAGTCTCACATCCTCCTCCTCCCCTCTTCTTCCTCCTCTTCTCTTTCCTCTTTCCCCACCCCTTTCCTAGACTTCCCCTGAGGAAAAACAATCTGCTAACTAGAGAATCTGGTCTTGTAACCAGATTCTCCCATTCTTTCTTCCCTCTATCTTTCCATTCTTTTTATTTTCCTATGCATTCTTCCCTTCTTTCTCCTCTTCCTTCTCTCCCTTATTATTTGTTGTGGTTCTCCTCTTCCTCCTCCTCCTTCTTTTTTCTGTGTCTCTGTCAAAACACTAGGCTAATTTCTGTCTACACATGGTAGGAGACCGTGGCAATTCCACAAATCAAAAACTGTATTTCAGGCAAATTTATGATGTCTGCCAAACTTTACTAGAGCTAATGGGCAGACGTGGCTAATTTCAGCAACTTCTCATCCTCCTTTCTTCGCTCACCCCCTAGCGGAGGACTTTGTTAATGGCACTTCCAAAACTTCAGCCCTGAACAGAGTCCAGGGGTTCTAGCTTTTTTGCCCTAGGGAGGTTTGGGGACCCACAAGTAACTGTATTTTGGAGCGCAGAAGGTGAAGGAGATAAAAGTGCATATGAAGTTAGGACTCATATGATGAAAGGTAACCGAAAGGAAGAGTCATTGACATGATCAGATTTACATTGTGAGAAAGATTTAAGCCTGGTGCTTGTGGTTTATGCCTGTAATCCTAGGTACTTGGCAGACGGAGATGGGGAGAGTTGCATTTCAAGATCAGCAGGAGGAGGGGGAGGATAAGGGGATAGTTCATGAGCCCCCCATGTCCAAAATAACCAGAGCAAAGTGGACTGGAGGTGTGGCTCAAGAGGTAGACCATCTGCTTTGCAAGCACGAATCCCTGAGTTCAAACCCAGTACCACTAAAAATAAATAAATAAATAAATAAAAGATTTTAAAAGGGGGCAAGGACTGAGGGCATGGCTCAAGTGGTAGAGTGTGTTTAGTAAGCAGGTAAAACATGCCTAGCAAGTGCAATACTGCCAAATAGAAAAATGAAAGCTGTAGGGAAAAATCTGTAGAGCTCAGCACTCCATATTAATGATTTTATTTCATCTTTATAGTAGCACTGTGCTGTAGGAACTAATATTATTCCAATTTTCGAGTCTCAGATTAAGGACTTTGCCTCAGAAACATGCATAGCGAGTAACAAACCAGTTGGGATTTTGAACTGAGGTCAGTCACTTCTGAACTTTGTATTCTTGATCATTCAGCTGAACTTCTGAATGACCTTAGAAGACATGTTGAAGTTGGGACAAACTTGGAGCCAAGGAGACCTGTGAGAGTGCCAATATTCCAACTCTACCCTGAAAGAAATGTCTAGATTCGTATCTCTAAGTCCTTTCCTACAATTCTCCCTTGAACCTTATTTAATCAGCTTTCGACCACACCATTTCCTGACACTGCTCTCACCAAGATCCTACATTTCACTAATGCCAACCACCAGTTCTCTACCCTTACCTTCTTAACCAGGTAGTTCTGGTTTTCTTCCTTTTTAACTGTTCATGTGATGATTCTCTCTCATCTGCAACTCCCAAAACTTTGGAGTATTCTAGGAATCACTGCTCCTTTCTTCTTTGCCTATCCTCACTAGCTTGGTGATCCTATCCTGAATGTTATCTAAGTGATAATGACTCCCAAATTTATCTTTTCAACAAAGACCATTCCCTTGCAGCTAAATGCCTACCCATTATCTCCACTGATTTTTGTAATAAGCCTCGCAAGTTTTACATGTCCCAAAATGAATTTGGGGGTTTCTCCTCCAAACCTGGAGGACTCTTCTTAAAGTGTAATTCAATCCTTCCATTTATTTATACAAAAGCTTTTAGAATTAACCAAAACAACTCTTCTTTTCTCACAACTCATATACACTATAAGTTGACTCATATTCAAATTTGTTTACTTTACCTTCAGTCACTTTCATTCTACATGTATCTGATACAAACCACTGTCATCTCTCACTTATTACAAGTTTCCTGACTGGACTCCATGTTTCTATGTTTTTCTTCTAAAACTTTTCAACAAAACTTAAGTGATTCAATTCCATGTGTATCATTCAGGAGACCAGCCAGAAATGAAATTTATCCTGGAAAGGTGAATGCTTTATCTAGTGAAGAGCCTTTAATGGAGGGCCATTTACACAGACTGGGCAAGGTTAAGAGAACAAGCAAGAGAAAAAAGGTATCCAGAAATTAGCATTAGCTGGAAGTTGTTCCTACCCCTAGAGCTGAAGGTTTGCAAGGAAAAAATAGTGTTTTCAGAACCCAATGAGACCTGCAACCCCAGAGGAAAAACCATTCATTAGGAGCAGTAGTGGAGGAAAGGTAGAGGTATTTCTAGAGTCAGAGCATCAAAATAAGGAGAGAATGAGTAAGCAATACCCTAACCTCTTTCTTCTCACTCTCTGATCCCTGGTAGGTGCCTCATAGTCAAACCAATTGAAAACCAGCCTTCCAGGGATTGAATGATGCAGGCTACAGAGGTCAACCTGTACACAGCAGGGAAGGGTGGGAATGGAAGGAGGACAAGGTAAGTGAGGGTGGGGAAAGGGACAGAAGGTAACATGCACAAAAGAGCACAAGTTGGATCATGTCACTTCTCTGCTCAAAGCCCTCCAATGGCTTCTCATGTCATCAAAGAAACACTTAAGTCCTTACATTACCCTACAGGACCTATGTTTCTGGGTCCCTGCTTTCCTATCACTTGTGTCGCTTGAGATTTCCATTCTTTTTTCAAGTTCATTTCTTTGTTTAAAACAAACCATTATATTTTACCTAGCAATTTAAAATATTACAGTGGTAAGGGTTTTCAGAACATCAGTCCTTTATATGTAATAAACATCAGCTAAACAAATGGATGAGTAGATGAATTAAAAAAAACCCTTTTGTGTCATAAACCATACTTGTCCTTTTCAAAGCAAAGACATTACTTTTCTATTTTTATTATTTTGCTGGATATTGTTATTCTGTTTGTTTTGTTTTTTTTTTGAGCAACATTTTTATTCTTCTTTAAAAACTAAAGACAAATGCATGGATTTTTTCAGAAAGCTAGTTTATGTCTTCTGGCACCCAGCCAAGTTTGTCCAGATCTTGGGATTATTTCAAGTCCCCAGAGCATATAATGTCTTCAGGTCCTTGTCAGACAGAAGGGCTTTGGGGAATAGATTGCTGAGTGAATGTTGTCAAACATACACTCAACCCATTCCCTTTTCCACACATTTTTAATCCTGTCCTTAGATTAAGTTAGATTTCTGAAATACACATCAACCCAGTCTCTCACTATTTCTCTCAGAGTCAATCAATGCTCTTAATTTTTGACTTTTACCAAAGCATTTTAAATTATTTTTAGTTATATGAACGCATTTTCACCTGTGTATTTTTGAAATACATGGATTAATCTTGTGTTTGATAAAAACATGCTGCTTGTTTGGTGATGGGGGGTGGTTTACACAAGCTAGGTATTGCTCCACCATTGGGGTACGTCTTCATCTTGTTGAAGACATTTCTGCGACAACACAGTGAAAATTTTGGTTTAAATTTAGTGCACACACATCTATACTATGAAATGACATTCACCCACAAAAAGGAATGATGTACTGGTATATGCTGTCATAGGGATGAAACTTGAAACCATTATGCCAAACACAAAAGAAGTCAAACACAAAAGCCCACATATTGTATGAGTCTACTGTATGAAAAATATAGAATATTTTAGAGACAGAAACTAGATTAGAGATTATCAGAAGCTAAAAGGAGGAAAAGTACAAAGAGGACTCACTAATTAATGGATGCAGTGTTTCCTTGTTATGCTAAAGAGTATTACATACTTTATTATTACTTGTAAGTGATACACTGTAATATATTCCTTGTAATATACAACTCCCTTTCCATATATATGCTTTTATTTTTTCCTTTTTATTAGCATGCTTTAATTGTACAAATAACAGTTTTACTAGGACATTTTTACACTGTATATAACGTACTTTAATCAGATCCACCCTCATTACCCTCTTTTGACCCTCACTTCCCCCTCTCTTTGGTCCCCTTCTTCTTTGTAAATATTCCCCCTTCTACTTTCATGTCATTTTTTTTATAAATTCTAAATTCTGCATATGGAAGAAAACATGTGATATTTGGTTTTCTGAGTCTGGCTTATTTTGCTTAAATGATAATATCTAGTTCCATTCATTTTCTTGCAAATGACATGATTTCATTTTTCTTTACAGCTGAATAATACTCCATTGTGTACCTATACCAGATTTTCTTTATACATTTATCCACTGATAGTCACCTAGTGTATCTCTATTGTATGCTGATTATGATTCATTTAGGTATGTACCCAGAAATGGAATATCTGGATCATATGGTAATTATATTTTGTCTTTTAAGGAACCTCCATACTGATTTCCACACTGGTTTCATTAATTTACATTCCCACCAACAGTGTATAAATATTTACCCCTCCTTGCATCCTTACAGGTATTTGTCATTTCTTTTCTTTTTTTTCTGTTCTTTCTGTTTTCTTCCTTCCTTCTTTCTTTCTTTCCTTCCTTCTTTTTTTTCCAGCATTGGCATTTGAACTCAGGGCCTTGAGCTTACTAGACAGGCACTCTACCACTTGAGTCACGTCCCCAGCCTTTTTTTGCTTTAGTTATTTTTCAGATACAATCTTGAGTTTTGCACAGGGCAGTCTCAGACTGAAGTCCTCCTGCCTGTGCCTCCTGTGTGCACTACCATGCCCAGCTTGTTTATTGAGGTGGGGATCTCATGAACTTTATGCCCAGGATGGTCTTGAACTGTGATCCTCCCAATCTCTACTTTGTGTTTAGTAGCTGGATTTCAGGTATGTACCACCTTACCTTTGTTTTCTTGATAATTTCAACTGGGATGGAAGGAATCTCAAGGTAGTTTGGATTTGCAGTTCCTTGATGGCTAAAGACACTTATTGGCCATTTATATTTCTCTTAAACATTGT